TTTTTAAGTGCGGATTCGTAATCAGCGTGAAAAACTGCGTCTAATGATGTATTTTTAAGCATTGCTCAAGTTAAAACAACAATTCGAACCTTCGCATCCGAAGGTGGACCGTTAGCTGGCCACGCCGCAAAAGAGAAGTTTTTAATCTTCTTCTTCTACAGTCTATTTTAGCTTCCATTAGCTGAGGTGCATAAGAGTATACACGACTTTTATACGCGACATCTCAATGATTAAGTCTCAGAACCTTTTTGAAAGAAAACATCTGTTATCAGATTATAGAATGCAGCAGACTGCTGCGAGGCAAACGTTTTTGTTGTCCCGAGCCCGTGAGCCCGATTCCACGAAAAATTATTTTATCCCGAGCCCGTTTTGTCTCAGAAACGACAACTACGGGCTTCCCCGTACCATTTACCCTGTATATTTAGAAAGAGATAAATAATACACCTGCTAGATTTGGATAAGGGACGTGATTTTTTCCTTTTGCTCCGAGCCCGTAAGCCCGAACCCAGAAAAATATAATTTGTCCTAAGCCCATGAGTCCAAGCCCGTAAATGTTTTTTGGTCCCGATTCCGACTGTCCCACGGAATGAACAGGATAGATGGGACAGGATTCGGGGCTGTCCCGCAGGAGTCTAGAGTGCAGTCGATAACTTAGAAACCACACGTTTTAATCACGGGGAATTCCTTGACATGTACGTGTAGGTCAACTAATACTCAAGAAGAAATAGGGTATATTACATATCTCTCGTATTTTTTACTGTTGACGATATGTACCAACATATATTTTTTACTTGAACTGATTTTCCTACACAGTAAAAACGCGTGTTCTTCAGAAAACATAAAACGGGCTTTTCACTTATCCCAAATAGAAAACGCAAATGGATCTTATATATACAATGGATAGCTAAATTTTTAAACAGAAAAACCAAATAAGTTCTTCTGTATGGGACATTTGTTCTTCAGATAACTCGAAAAGAAAGAACACATTCTCTGTTGTTCATATCGTTGAAAAACTCATTCTTTACTTCTTCAAATTTGTATTTTATGCCGTTTTGCGTTGTTGAAAGGAGTCAGATTTGTTCTTTAGAAATTTTTCTGCTTCTTGTTTCCAGTGACGAATAGCAACGAAGAAAGTATGAGAAACACTTCCGCAAAAAGAGTTCCTCTTCTGGTACCAAAACATTTTTTCTGAGATTTTGTCAAAACATTACGGCGAAATAAAATGAGATCGTTGTGTTCTCATTTTTCTATTTCATTAGGTTCTAGTCATTAGGATAGTGTTATGGTAAACTAAACAACGTTAATAAGACATTGAAAGCGTACATAATTCTGGCTATTAGATACACTACACGAATGATAATTGTACATCACGATATAATGGTTCCAGGAAATCCGGGAAAGATTAGTTTTATAATAAGATCGAATAAATTCCAAAATAATGAAAAGTATAAAGTTGAAAAAGTTCGTCACGTTACGTTTTTACCATAGGTATTGTTACTTTCTTTGAGATTATATGCGATAGAAGGCTCGTTCTAGTATGATTTTATGGCGTGCAGTGATCCGGCCTAGTTTATGACAAGAAGGAAAAACTTTACACTTACAATGTGATTTCTATAAAAAAAAATGTCGAGAGCAGCGCTGTTACGGAAAAAGGCCCTAAAAGCTCGATAGAGTAGCGTTACGTTCATAAAAACGAATTTTTGGGCAACCGAAAGGAGCAAAAAAAAGCTTTTGTTTTTGTTTCCAGTATACAGAAAAGTAATTTTACTTTCGACTGTTTTAGTCTTATTAGTATTTTTAAAATGTATTTTCTATCCTATATACTAGTGAATTGCACTGGTATTGTACCGTTTGAAAAAATTTCAGAAAAATCAAGTTGCTTGAAATCTTTTGTGTGCTATTAAACTATATACTATATAGTTTTTTCCGTGTATATAGTTTTTTTCGATTACGAAAAAAAAGAAGTTCCCCAACTGTCACTTTTTTTTATTCTTGGAAATTAACTTTTTGTTCAAGATGATTGATTCGTATGGTTTTCGATGAAAAAACCATAGCAAATAAATTTTAAAATGTTATTGTAATATATCAATCAAAAGATTTTGAAAAAGCGAATTTCTTGAGCATGTGCAAAAATCTTTTTACATATATGTGAGCAAAAGCAAGACAATTAATTTATCATTTCTTTGTAGTTCGAGTTCAATTGAGTTTCTCAAGGAAAACCGTTAACGACATCTAATTTTTCATTATTTCTTTTGCCCATACCGGCACTTATGTGCTAAAAACTTTCTGCATGTCTTAAAAAAATTTTCAAGTTTTAACGAATCGAATGATGTGTGATATGCTGAATTTAAGGGTAATAGTAAAACATGAAGACACCCGCAGACACTTACAAACACCCACAGACAGCACACAGACACCCACAGATAGCTGCACAGACAGCACACATACAACCACAGACAGCCACACAGACATCCATAGCTGTCTGTGGCTGTCTGTGTGCTGTCTGTGTGTGTTTGTAAGTGTCTGTGGGTGTCTGTGTGCTGTCTGTGGGTGTCTATGGATGTCTTCATGTTTTACTATTACCCCTGAATTTAACTTTATTTTTTATGAACATACTTTTATTTCAAACTCGCGTGACATTTTCAACATAAAATGCATTTTTCTTAGAACGAGAGCTGTTAAAGTGCTTTTACCATAGACTTATCTTCAGGTCTAAAAAAAAGGATAAAAATATCAAGGTTACAACTGTGATAATCGGTGAGATATTGAAATAATAAAATTCAAAATCTCGCGTGACATTTAACGCAAAAGTCTTGTTTTTCCGCTTCTTCTCTTTTTTTTTCATTTAACCATAAAATATAATAAAAAGGTTTTTTTACCAGACTACTTTTCAACTTATTGGTTATCAATGCATATAAAACATTTAAATCTATTTATTTGCTGGTCTGTATACAGAGGATTTAATCTCGCGTGACAGAAAAATACAAAATACAAAGTGTCTGTTAGTACATGTTTTATTACAAAAAAGTCACAACTTTAAATATACAAATCTTAAATCCAAACACATATTCTAGAAACTCAAAATAATCTAGAATCTCAGCTACAAAATAGCTAGAAAACAATTTGGCTCAACAAAGAAAAATTATAGAGAAAAGGGTAAACTTTGGACGTAAGACAGCGTTGAAAATAACAATTTTTTGTCTTTTTTGCATAAGTCGGGAATGAAGGGAGATAAAATCTTGGCCTTTTTGATAGAAGTAGGCATCAAACTAGGGAACAAATTAAACAAGAATTATTGAAATTCGTTTAGTAGAAGATGAGATATAGGGGTTTTACATTTCGGAGTACTACAATACAATACGGGCGCAGTTTACTCATATACATGTCAAATATCTCTTACGCACGTCACTCTGATAGCAGAATAATTGATATTAATAGCAACTGTTAGCTATTTATGGCTATCAAAAATAAAAGTCTGACTATGAGCTGCATTTTTTTTTAAAATGCGATAATGCCGACTTTGATTTCCCACAGACTGCCGATAATTTGAAGTTTTTATTAAAGAATATGTTCTTAATCAGAATTTTGAAATAGACTTTAGAGTCATGTATAAAATGGTTTATACTGTCTATAGATCTACTCCATTTCTATCAAAGTCTAGGCCTAAAATCATCAATTTTTTTCTTTTTATTCTCCATCAAAGGATGCAAAGTTTTCTACCATATCGAATTAGATTCCACTATCAAACAATACTTTCGCCTGCAGAAGAAGAACAGAAAACATACACTCAAATGATCCATCAGGAGGGCTCAATAAATTGGGAATTTTCCTCTATGCTGCTTTGCTACACACCAATATACATAAGTGAAGATCTTTGGAGAGAAAATAGGTTTTTGCGTATTTTTGAGTCAAAGCCAACAAAACTCCAATTCAAAAACCAGCTAGGATAAAATTTAATCTGAATACATATCCTATTGTAAACGACAACTAACGACCAAATGCGATCGTATTCCATGCAGACGTAGTACGTCATCGTATATAATCATCGTAAAAAAATCGTACAGGATTGTAAACGGTCGTAAACGTTTTCTTCACGGTCGTCGTATACACGAACGTATTACTTTTGCATGCATACAACGATTTACGATCAGATATGGTCTTTTACGACCTCTTTTCGATCATAAACCTTTCCGATCGTAAGTGGACGTATACAATGGCCGTTTTCATCGTCCCGAGTATTAGATATTATTAGCTTTTGCATATAGCATTCTTTACGACTGCGAACTGAGCAGCACCAAGAACAAAATTTCCTTCTAGTTTATAACAAGTATCAAAAAACTTTTTTGCAGTATCAATAGTCCTGATATCAATATTTATTTGCATTTATTCAATATCGAAATATTTTATCTTAAAGTTTTTGCCCATTGTTCCAGATGCAAAATGTGCATGATCATGGAAGAAAGAATTTCGACTGGTGTGGACAAATGTCTTTATACAATAGCGTATAGTCTTTTTAAAAATGAAGATACATTAACAATAAAGAAAAAAGTTGCTTGACATTTATCTACATAGATTTTTCCTCGAATCAACACACAATTCATCATGTAAACATCCTTAAAAGCTTTTACTAAAATAAGCAGACAAAAGATGAGACAGCTAATATCTACAAAACTAACCAATTACTAGCATCATTGCATTGAATAGATTAAAAAAATCACTTAAATAGTTTACAATAATAAATCTCTTTCTCAGTAATTATATGTTCTATCAAAATTGATCATGATAAAAATATGATACAAAAATAAGCAAAAAATTTTACGAAAGACAAAATTCCATTTTTATAAAAATATGAGCAAAAATGATATCATTTATTTATAAGCAAATTTTCACATTTTATAGGCCAAATAGACATAGAACAAAAAAATATTAATGATGTGGGTAACCAGGCATTGGAAATTGTTGCGCAAATTGGGTTACTCTATTAGCTAACGTTTTTATATTCGCTTGAATTGTTGAATCTTCTAATAAAAATTGTTTATAATCTTTTAGCGTTTCTAAAATAAAATAAGAAAGAAGAAATAGGTAACATAGGATCACATAGTGAAAACACCTACTCGTTTTTTCTTTTGCTTCCAGTGAAATAATTATAGCTTCATGCAAAAATTCGACTATTTGTCTAAAATCATGTTGTTTTAAACCACGAGATGTCATTGCTGGTGTTCCGAGTCTAATACCACCCGGAACCATTGCACTTTTATCGCCAGCCACAGAATTTTTATTAATCGTAATGTGTGCTAATTCACATACTCGTTCAACTCTTGCTCCATCCAAACCATTGGGTCTTAAATCGAGAAGAAGGACGTGAGTATCAGTGCCACCACTCACAATAGTATACTGTCTGTCAGTTAATGCTTTTGCCATAGATTTGGCATTTAATATGATTTGTTTAGCATATTGTTTAAAATCGGATGACATTGTCTAAATACAGATGTTATGTGCAAATGTTATTTGAATAAGAAAACTTCGCTTTATATACTTCTTTTAAAGAAACTGCTACACCGGCTATTTGATGTTCATGTGGACCACCGTATAACGATGGGAAGACAGCAGCATCGATTTTTGATTGATAATCATAGAGAATATCTTCACCTTTCTTGTCCTTACCTTTGACACCAATGCGATAAAATATAAGCCCAGACCTGAATAAGCATAACACACAATTAGCTTGTTAAGAAATAGTCAAAAGTTTTTGGAACTTTTTCTTTATATTTAACCCAATTTATTAACTAGACATTTCAACATGTTAACATATTAACATCAGTAGTTGTTATAGATTCACAATCACTTAATATGTGTATATAATATACGAAATATCTAGTTAATAAATTGGCTTAAATATGAAAAAAAAGTTTAAAAACTTTTCTGATTATTTTTTCAACTTCATAAACAATAATAGTGTTAATTATGAGTTATTAAGAAATACACCAATTCCAGTTGAACACAAAAGATTTAGTACCTAACACCTCGTAATGATTTGTGTGTAGTCGTTGTGACCTATAAAAGACTATTCATACTGAACATTATTCGACAAAACGAAGAAAAAGAGATAAAACATACCACATCGGCATATTCAAATGCACTTGGTATAACTTCTGCAGCTATCAGACCGGCAATATGTGCAATATCACACATAAGAACAGCTCCAACATCATCACAAATCTATAGTAATAATAAAACTTCAATATCCTTGCCTTCAAACATCAATATATTCATACTTGACGAAACTGTTTGTAATCAATTAGTCTGGAGTAAGCTGATGTACCTATACATAGAAAGGAGTGAAAAAAACTAATCAAATTTTGTATGTGTCTTCCACTAACGAGTTATGAAAATGATGCGTACCAGCTATAATTAATTTTGGTCGAAATAATTTTGCTGTTTTATGTAACATTTCATAATCAATTAAACCAGTTGTTTCCTAATTAATGAAAAATCAAAAGTATTATAATTGAAGAATTGAAAGAACGATTACTAATTACATTCAACTTGTATGGCATCGATTCAAAGTATACAGAGGTAGCTGAAACACGTTTGACATCGGTCATAAATCCATGTGTTAGATGACCACCATGAGGTAAATCTAAGCCCATCAGTCGATCATGTGGTTTTAAAAGACCAGTATAAACAGAAAAGTTTGCTGGACTACCACTGAGTGGTTGTACGTTGACTCCCCATTGTTTTGAATCTAAGTGAAACGCCTTCAAAGCTCTCTCACGACATAAATTTTCGACTTTGTCCACTATTTCATTTCCTCCATAATATCGTTGACCAGGATATCCTTCGCTGTACTTATTATTTAGACATGATCCTAATGCATGCAATGCTGCTCGACTACAAAAGTTCTAAATGAAAGAGAAGTTCTGATATAGAAATGGGTCTTCTAATACTAATCATAAATATTGACTAGCCTCAGAAGCAATCAATTCTATGCCAGATATCTGACGCTTTTTTTCTTCTTTAATTAAGTCCGTTATTTCTGGATCAATTTCACTTAGTGATTCATTTCCAGTCCATAAATGGCGACAAAATAACGTTGATATAGACGTTTTAAACTAAATAGAAAATTATTAGATATTTTTGCATGAATAGAATGTATAATTATATCAATAATCTTACTTGTGAATGACAACTTGAACGTTTAAGTGCGTATTGTAGAATATTTTTCATTATTATTAAGTAAACATAAAAAAGATAAATTTAGAATATATGAAAGTTAAAAAAAATTCATATAACGTAATATTTACGATATTATTCTAATAATAAAGAAAAATTATAATTTTCGAAATAAAATCTCATAAAATATGATGAACTTACTACAAATTTCTAAAATTTACTTTTAAAAATATTGTAACGTCTTTTTAGCGAACATTATGGTTCGATGATTGTTCTTCTTATTTTCTATTTCTATTGTACTCTTTTGTCGATAACCGTTCTAGTCAAGGATAAAACATACATTAAGAATGACAATTCAGTTTGTCATGCATAAAACAATAGAATGCAGTTAAAATCTACTTTAATAAAGAAGCTCATATGACAATATTTTTTTTCTGTATGTTATGAAAGAAGTTAATTTTCATTAAAATTATTAACAAAACCGTGTATAAAATAAAATGCGTCAGATATTAGGTTTTAATCTTCTTCTAACACATTTGAGAGAAACTTTTATCATTTTGAAATATACACATAAATTTCAACTATTTTTATCTTTCTGGCAAGGCTAACGTTGTATTTCTACTATTCTTCTATGTTTAATATAGGACAACGTGATTTCCGTCAATTTTAAAAAGGATAATAAAATGAAATTTAAACATTTTTAGACATTATTTTTACCATTCTCAGCAAACATTTTCATTATGTAAAATAGAATCATTCAAGTTACGAATATCATGATAACCCTTTGTGAACACTTAAAGATAGAATATTCAATTTTATTTCAAAGCAAACACAGAGAACAAAAGAACAAGACAAAAATGATTCTGTACAAATGAATAACAGAGAAGAAAAAAATTTAAACAGATATCAAAAAACAACAAGAAGTTCTCAAGAAATAAAAAGTGACTTGTCATAATTCTGTTTTGTTTCTTTTTTTTGTTTTTTGTTTTTTTCAATACAGATAGAAAGAAAAAATAGTAGACCAAGAGCAAAAAACAAAGTTTTATCAATATCATATATTTTAAGAGTATAGAAAATGAGGATAAATTACACTCAAAAACAGAATCTATTCTTTCATGTCTTGAAGTAACGATCGTTTAGTAGAGCCGTTTTAGGAAAGAATTACATCATCTCACTTCAGTAGTATTTTCTGTTAGAGATGGCATTGTCATGGTAATAGCAGATGAGAGTCTATTTGATTCAAGTATGTCAGTGACAATTGAAGAATCTTTTGATAATGATGGTATTATAGACACAAATGATGATCCGGATGTGTTTGATATAGAAGAACCCGATGAAGTAACCATAGCATCTGTTTGTTTTATTATTTCATTTGCAACTGTAGTTTCTTCTAGAAACTTTCGTGATTTTGTTTCACTTTTATTTTTTTCATTTGATTTTCTATCAGATGAACTTGATGAATGACGATGTTTTGATTTACTTTTTTTCGATGATTTTTTTGATTTTTTATTCTTTTTACTTTTAGAACGAGAACGTGATCGTTTTGTGGTAGAAGATTTTGTTGTTCGAGACGAGGATCTTCTACGATGTCGAGATGATGATTTAGATCTTGAACGTCTAGGTCGTTTAGATATGGATGAACGATATGATGAACTTGAGTGATGTTGATGATATTTTGTCGATGCTCGAGGTGATTTTGATCTTGAACGTTTTGAAAAACGATGTGAACTTCTGCTATTTGATTTATAATAACTATTTGTAGTACTACTAGTACTGGCACTAATTGGTGATTGATTTTTAACATTTAACAGTTTTTCAACTATAACTGGATTAATCTGATTTATAGTCGTGGTAGTAGTTTTATTCTCAATAGTATTAGCATTGTCTGTATTAGTGTTAGGCAATTCTAAATTTGGATTTTTTGATTTAATTAATTGAATAAACATTTCTGCCTTCTTTTTTCGTTGTTCTTGTTTTTCTTTACTCTCCTGAACTAATTTATCTCGTACAAATAAATTTAAACGATCTTTTTTACGTTCTAGTTCAATATGTTGTTGACGAATTCTTTCTAATTCCATTGGTGAAGCTGGTTGAGGACCAATTAGTGGAAATTCTTCTTTTATTTTTTCTTCGGAATCTAACGAATAATTTTGATCACCATTTAATAGAGGCCATGTAGAAGATTTATGGATACTATTATTCATATCCTGCTCATGTTTTTCACCTATAAAACAACAAAAATATAATTCTTGAATACTCAACTCTTCATCGCATTTATAGCAAAAAAAAATAACTGACACTTCGTAACATACTTTGTTTTTCAATGTTCTTATCAATAGATGATCCATTACTGTTCTCTTCACAATAGTCTTGTTTATCAATGTTTGTTATTTCATCTTCATCAATTGTATGTTGAAATTCAACCGATGATGATGATGATGGTTTTGAATTATTATCATCGTTCTGTTTTATTTTCAACACTAGTTTAACACCCCGTCCATGAACACGATTTTGTTCTTCTAGTTCTAGTCGTCGTTTTTCTTCTTCATATTTTGCACGACGAATTTCTTGCTAAAATAAGAAATGGCAAAAATATACTCTAACATGTTCGATTATAGGATAGAAAAAGACTACATACTAAACATAGTTGAACTTTGAATTGATAATAATTATAGTGTACATGATCTTTTTCAACAAATGCAAATCGTTGATCATTCTTCGTTCGTATTGAACGTTCAAATGTCGATCCATTACGTGCAACATATTCAGCTAATTTATCTACAACGGGCTTCATATCTGGAGGTGGAGGAATGACATTCGCTGATAGAGTTATATCAGTGAACGATCTATAGAGAAAAGAAAAATTATTGTTAACTAAACATCGAGTATCCGAAAATAAACTAAACTTACGATGGCTCTTTCGCAGTTGAATCGTCAGAAGTTATTGATCCATCATCGTCTTTTCCTTTCAAAGCTCTAAAATAATGATGAAAACCATTGATATGTGAACAGAATGATTAAGAACAAAAAAAAAAACATCTTACCTTTCTCGTTGTCGAAGATGTTCAAAATTTTTGATCAATTGTCCATAGGCAGTATCATGAATATTTAATGGTAATGGTGTTTTAGGATCATCTGTTGTTGTTGTTATTGATTTTTTAGATGAGCCACGTAATAAAGGGTGTAAATAACTACTTGATTCTTCATCATCATCATCATTTTCTTCATGCTTGATTCCTACAACATACAATTAATTAATTAATCTAATTATTTTCAATTTTTAAATAGCAAATTTACCAATTTTTTTTTTTGTCTTGGTGTTATTATCGGTATTATCAATATCCGGTCGATATTTTCCCGATTTAATCATCATAATAAGATGTCTATAGTATGGATTCAAATAATTATCATATTTTAAAAAATCAAATTGTGAATTTTTTGCTTGTTTTGTTTTCAAAACAATTTCCATTTGTAGTCCGTGTGATGCAACAAATACAGCCGTCTTTTCGATAACAGCATTCAATTTAATTGATTCAGGCTAAATTTCAATTAAAAAAAATATTCATAACTGAAAAACAGAAAAACAAAACATACAATTTCCATTCCATAAGGTAGCTGTAATTTATCTGACGGATAAAATGGTTCATATTCATCATTTTCAATTTGTTGTTGTCGTTGTTCTAGAAAAGATGAAATTCACAATAACTCCCTTCTTTGCACAATACTCAAACATACCGTTCAAATGCTGATCGGTCGATAGAGATGGTTGTTTATATTCTTGTGTAGAAGTGTCATCTTTGTAAGAAAATCCAACTTGACCATAGAGATTTTGCTCAGAACAAAAACGTTTCCATTCTTCTTCTAAAAACAGAAAAATCATTATGTACGACGTTTACCAAAGATTTGTTAAACTCATCGACTCTTCACAATCAGTGAACTGTAAGAATAAACCTCCTTCATTTTCAACATTATTTATCCGTTTTTCCATGTCTAAACTATATCTTATACAGTAAACTAGTGGATGACGTCTCTTTTCAAAAAACATTATGGGAGATAACTCTTTTAATAAACTCTCTTTAAATAAACACGTGTGTGTGATCTTTTACTTCTTATACATAACCATTTCTACTTCTTTTTCTCGTCTATTTATTCAATTATTTTGACTTCTAAATTAAATTTCAGCCTATACTAATAGTAGTGAGAATTATAATCGCTTCTTTGTGTATTACAATAATAAAAGATAAAATTTATCTTATTCTAATAAACCTAGATTATATACATCGTCAATTCTTACCTTGATATAACGTTTCGTGATCAAGATCGCGATGTAATGACAAATATCGTTCTTCGTCACACAATTTCTCAATTTGGTTTTCTTCATCAGATAATGATGATAATTTGTTTTCAGTACGAAGTAAATCGGCATCCCATGGAACCAAATCAAATAAATGTCCACGGCAGTCGTATCTGGCAATAAAATAGAAAAAAAAAATTTATTTGAATATGTTTAGAAATGGCTATAATTCTGTTAGAATGGAACGAAAACGAACAGAGATCTCAAAAAGACGAAAATCTCTGTCTTCAGAGCTGAAATGAAACAGAAAAACAAATAAATCCAGTTAAATGATAAGATAAACATACCCCATACACTCTATGTTTACCCACGTAGGCTATAGAAAATGCACAATCGTACAAAACATAGTTTACTTACCTTTCCTGAGTAAAAAAAATTAGATATAAGTGTATACGAACCCATTTAAATAACAAGATGGTAATTGAACATTGCAATTGGTACTGGAACATAACACATAACGACAGCAACAACAAGTTGCTTACCAGTAAAAATATTCCATTAAATATTGACAACCTTTTCTTACAGACATACACAAAAACAGATAGGCCTTTCTCTAAGAGCAAAGGTGCTCTTTGTGCAAAAAGAGAATCCTTTATAGAAAAATATCGTTGATGAAAAAAACAAGCTCTTGGCAAACAATAAAAAAAGAGTTAAATTTCTATAAACTGATGTTGTTTTTGATCGAGTGTTTGCAAAAGAAAATAAAGAGACAAAAAATCCACACCTGTCAATTTTAATGGTTTCATCGCCATTCCATGGTATTAAATTTTGTCCACGATCAATGGCTTTTGCTGTATGATCATCACGAAACAGTTTACAAGAATAACCAAATACAATTATTTCGTCTTCTTGGTGATGATTGGATGAATCGTACGAATTTGGACGACTATTTATGCCATTCGAATCATTTTCTTGTTGTTCTTCAAATTCGGCAAACAAATTTATATTAGCGGTCATCCTTAATCTTAAAACTAACAATATAATATGTCATAAGTTGTAAAAAGTAATTGGTTAGTAATGTAAAACTTTTGTTAGTGTTACATTATGCACTAATTAACAAGTCATATGAGACAATTTAAGAATATTTTTCGTTTGAGATTCATTCCGCCAATATCGAAAATAAACCTTTGGAACTCAGATATTATAATTTCTTCATCTCGTATGCATCAGACTCTCATGAGTTGACAGATTATTACATCAACAATCATAACCAAATAAATTTAACAATTTAGAGGCATCCAGTATTTTTAATGACAAAGGGTACCCATTTAAACAAATTGTACAGATACTCTAAAAACTGGATATGGATTCTCATATGTTGTATGTATGCGTGTGTCGTAGGCGATGTCCTAGAGTATTACTTTTTCAGGATCTGTACACATACGGAAAAACAGCGTGTTATACAAAAATCTCATTAAAGCAATAGATACTCTATGAGCTGGAATATCACAAAATTTTCTTTGTTTTGTCTATGTTAAATTAAAATTATTAAAAATTCTACCTATGGATTGAATGGTTTATTGAATTCGCCAATGGAATTTATTTTTCTGTTTCTTCTTGAATATTTCGCGCAGAGCTCCATCTTTATAAACGTACTTAATTTAAGGATGCTCTTAGTGTATATATGTATAAAAATCTTGTATAATTTGACTATATTTTCTATCCAAAAATGCGTGGGCGATCCATCATCTCATCAGTTCATGAAGTTCATTTTTTATTGGTGCAGATGTAGCTTCATGTGATGTGGTGGAATTTTTTCTCGTTGATTCTTGTCTACTTCTTGTCGTGAAATAACTACTGATATAATGTATTTCAAAACTTTTCGTTTTTCACCGCACCTGTATTATATCTGCGTTCCATGATTTTCATATTTGCGAGTTGTTGTGTCGCTCTTGTTTCTTGTATAACTTCTCAGATTTCGATTAAGAATTGATTGAAGGACAGAATGGCGTTATGGTTGTAAAAGAATTTCTCTCTCTTTCTCTGATTATATAATAATGTTTGAAATTCATTGATAGTACAGATAACAGCCCGAGTTCGGCGAGTACACGGTTTTTCGAGTATGAATACGAGCACCGAGTATTTCGTTGGTCAATTTTACTCGAGTGCAGATTTTTTGAAAATGAAAGGAAAAAGTTGCTACTTTGCGATGAATTATGTCGTTCAGTGCCATTCTCTGCTCCTAATCTATTATGTTCTTTTATTTGAACTGCTAATATGCCTGAATATGAACATGAAAGTTTATTATATGAATGAACATGAAAATTTTTCCTACATTTCCGAGAGAAACTTGAGAATTTTTTTTTCAATACGCTACATTAATATCCTGTATTCAACAATATAAGCCTTTAAGAGATTAGAATCTCTTCAGATTGAACAGAAAAAATGAACAGTAAATTTCACACTGATCACAATAAATTTCTTATGTAAATCCTAGCGGATTTTCACTAAACTTATGTTTTTCATGTATAACTGTATCGTTGCAATGGTTTAGATCGCTTCCATACTTTTTTATTATTGTTTTTTGTGCAATATGTTCTTGTCCAAAAAGATCGAAAAATAATACGCATCAGTTCATAACGGCTTTCTTGTCAATTCACACTGGATTACAAAAAGATTTTCAGTTAAGTACTCAAGTACTTTTTTGAATAATCATTAAAAAAAAGTCGCGAGTACAAGTATCAAAAACTTTGTACTCAAGTGTACTCAAGTACGAGTATTTACTCATACTCGCTCATGTCTGATAACAGTTTGATTCGATTAACAGATTTCGGGTATTATTCTCTTTATTTTGCTCTTCATTGAGTTGCATTGATGATTAGCAGAGAGAGAGTTAAGAATAAAACGTCACTAGACGAATGTAAAGCTGTTATCCAAAAAATAAAAATACCACTTAGCACTACCGAGTAGGAGAGTCTATTTATAAGACTACTGTTACAAATATAGGATGTGATTATTAATCGTCTTAGTAAAATGAAATTAGAAACAACATTCGCTATATGCAACATTTTAGACAATGTCATAACTAAGATTTTCTATTTTGTAGAAGAAAACTTTCTAATAGCTTATGTCAAAATGTCTGATGATCTTAATAATCTTGACGATGAACGTCAACGTTTTCTAATTGATTTGGAATTTGTTCAATCACTTGCTAATCCGCAATATTTAAATTTTTTGGCTCAACGTAGTTATTTTAAAAATCAAGCATTTATTAATTATTTGAAATATTTACTCTATTTTAAACAGATAAACTATGTTAAGTTTATACGTTATCCACAAGCATTATATTTTCTCGATTTACTACAACGTGAACAATTTCGTAAAGAATTGGTTAATGCAACATATTGTCGTTATATTGAAGATCAACAATTATTAGCATGGCAACGTTTACAACGACGAAAATTTCAGCAATTGACTACTAATAGTGCAACAACTCTAACAACGAATGCGACGAGTACATCATCTACAACAAGTTGAAATAACAGTGTTGTCTTTATTTTAATTGTACATATTTTTGTTCACTTTCCTAATATTAAGGTGATTTTTAAAAACATCATGTGTTTTTTTCCTTTGAAATTCTTTTGTTGCATTGATTCGATGAAAAGAGATTTAGAGAAATAGTACAGACAATGGTAAAATATAAACTATTTGTAGAGTAATGAGTGAGTTTAGTAAAATATAACTAATTTCATAGATGTATTCATTCCTATCGAAATAGAACATCTACATTCTATTTGCGAATTATAATGTTTCTCCTGTTTGGTTGCAATCTAAGGGATAAACAACGTATTGATTTATGAATAGAAAACATTGTTTTACATTGTTTTTTTCAGATGTGCATACAAATATACCGTGCGTGTAAATCATAGAATAATTTATTTTTGTGTTCATTTTTACTCCTTTAAATATAACTTTTCTCAACGTCGTCGATTGTTGTGTTTTTCTTTGAATTCAATTGAAATATACTGGTAATGATTTTTATGGATAAATGAGATGATTTTTATATATCCTTTTTTCTTGTTGCAGTGATGATGACAAATGAAGATGCACCGACAAATGTCCTGATATTGCCCAATGTGTTTTATCCATTACTTGAACAATTAGATAAAAATGGTTATAAAGATTTACAACAACCATTGCGTACCATGTTCTATCAACTTGAAGATAAATATCCTGGTTTTTCTAAAAGTTTTTTACAATTATTCATTGAAAAAGAACCCCATATTCAACAACAACAACAACCCGTTTTACAAAATATGAACGAATTGACATTAAAATTAGAAAAATATTGTGATAAAACATCCTATTATTTACAAGGCTCAGAACAAGAATTTCATGAGCTTAATATTCGTTCAAAAAATTTAAAACGTATTCTAAGTCGTATACCCGATGATATTAATGAAAAACGAGCATTTCTTGAAACTATTAAAGAAATAGCAAGTGCAATTAAGAAAACACTCGATGCTGTATCAAATACATTTCAATATTTAAAAACATCAGAAGGTCGTCAAGCATTAGAAAATGAAAAAAAAGAATTTATTAAATATTCAAAAAATTTTTCTAATACATTAAAAGCCTATTTTCGTGATAGTAAACGAGATGATGTTTATTTAGCTGCAAATCATTTATTAGTACAAACTGATTATTTACTACGAACAATTAAACTCTATTGTGAACCAGGAAATTTAGAAGAATATTTATATCCATCATTAAATCATTATGTTAAATCACAATCATCGTCATATAATAATAAATATCAGAATAATAATGTCAGAAACAGTAGTGCGATTAGTGGTAGTGGTCAACATCAACAACAACGACCTACATCAACATATGATACAACCGTTTTTACTTAAATTTGTTGTATTCTCTATAGAGTAAACGATAGTAGATCTCAAACTCTAAAACAGACGAGATAGAGGAGAGATAATTGATGTCTATTTTTATTGTACGATTATGTTCATTTTTATTGCATTGTTTGTTCTTCCATTTTTGTGTTCGGTAACGTTTTTATTTTCGATAAAAAAAAAAAGAATGGAATTTTATACATAATAATACTTATTATATCATACAACGAGGAACATGATCTTTTTATTCTATTTTCGATGTTGTGTTTTCTTTTTTCATATATCAAAAACCATGGCTGTTTGTTTATGAACTCTATCACTTACTAGATATTGTTAGTTTGTTTTTCTTTTTCTTGCTGTTAAAGCAATTATATTTATTTATTTATTTATTTTTCATGTTTTTCTCTGGACAAAAAGGTCAACATGTTTATTTGCACATTCCTGTTTAAATATGTGACGAAAAATTGCATGTTTTTCATGTCATTTCGAGACATAATAAACTAATATCGATTAAAAATAATAAAAAAAAAAGAACGGACGAAAATTGATGAAAAATATTTGAAAGCGAAAATGTACAGTTTATAAGTAAAAAATTTAAATAAACAAATGTAATATTTTCAAATTTATGTTACATTCGCTTCTTTTTTTTTAGAATGATTCCATTTTGGATATGTTTTCTTTTAGATGTGTAGGAAAACAAATTGTTGTATCATATTTATAATTGTTTTTTTTTTCTTCGTCTTTTGTTACTTTTCAGTAGAATGCTGCGTGTTTTGGTGTGTTGTTCACCTTGTCCTTCTCATGTTCTATTTTGCTTTGTTATAAATATAGAAATTATTACACGTGTTTCATTCATAACTAACGGTGTGGTTTAATGGTGGCCGATTGTCGGTGATAATACGTCAAAGGAAAAGAAAATATTTGCTAGCTAGTAGGCATCATAGTCAAATTCGAACTAGATATAATAATCGTGTATATAAATTGTCATCTCATGAAAAAAGACTCATTTATTGACTGCTTCGGTTTATTATTATTTGTAAAAAGGTGACAAGAAGCATCTTTGACTACACCTTGTATGAAATAATTTAAGTAAAATGGTTAAGAGCGATAGTATCCGATTATAACCTTCATATATTTTAGAACTTTTATCTGTAAGCTGCTCTATTTTAATATTTTATTAACGTGATACTGGTGTGAAAAGTGTGACAGATCAAAGAGATGAAGTGTATGGTGTGACAAACTTTTATTCTCAACAGTTCATTTTTCTATACTTTGACCCGTACCTTTCAGGTTTTACCTATATTGTAATCTATCGAGGTTGTGTTTTTACGAGGTAAAACGATTTTATTCTTGTACATAAATAAGAGAACATAGCTTCTTTTATACATTGGCCTTGTATTCTTCACTAGATATTATGCACACGTGCTAACAAAACAAGAAGAACACCGACTAACCTCTTATAAACAGGAAATGGTATTCCATTTGTGCTATCTATTATTTTTTTCATTTTTCAACACGAAATTATCTTTTCTCAAGAAATTTATATCAAATAAATCGTATCATATAACATCTATTTGTTGTTATGTATGTTTATCATGAAGAGGAGAAGAAGAAAGAAAAATCGAGAGAGAGTGATATCTTGTGATATCAGACTGAAATCTACCTTTGTTTCGTCGTCATCTATCAAGTAGAATACCTTTTTATTTCATATTCTCGTTACCGTTATCTCTTTCAGTAAATAGAGACGAATATAAAATAGTGTGATGTTCAACAATATAGATAGAACTACGTAAAAGAGAAATAGCACAAGTTTGATAACTAAAAAAGAGAAAAATTGAGTACACTTTTATACCTCCTAGAAGGAGATGATTTGAAAGCGTAACTTTTATCGTTTTATATTTTTTCAGATTATTCATTAATTTGTCTCTTTTTGAAGTCATTGTCTCACCATTAATTTGTTATAGTGATAACGTGTGCTCGTTACATTCAATTTATCGTCGTATTTAAATATAATCAAAATTGAAAAGAAAAAGACAATAGATTTATAATTTTAGGCCATCTTCTGTAATTATTTATTTGTTTATTAATTTCTTTTTGCACGAATAGTAAAAAGATGCCAGCATCAAATGGTGCAGATACCCGAACGTTTAAACAACGAAAAAATTTCGGTAAGTTGACAAATGATGTTTACTCAAAATGAAATATTCATCATTCAGGTCATTTTTGATCGTATATTTTGTGAAACTTCTTCAGTATCTCCATAGGAGAAGTTGAAATTTTATACTCAAAAAGTCTGAGTGATGTATCCCTCTTAAAAGAGTAGGGTATTCATCTTAAAAGACAGCTGCAATTTTCGTTGCTCCTCTATATTAGTGTACACTATTCGCAATATCATCTTTCGGCTAATGTAGAGGAGTTTCATCATTTTAGCCCCACAAGAGGCTGCCCTAATAAGATTTTTTAATGTGTTTAATAGTCTATATTATAAACACCCTTGAATGTAAGACGTTTTAGAAGAATTAGAATCGTTTTCTCTGCCATAAGTTAAGTTTAGACTTAATATCGTGAAGATAACATGGACTGAATTAGTTATCTATCTCAAGACACACAATTTGATTTTGCTATTATGAAATAGAATCTGGTATAAGAAAGGTTATTTCAAACAAAAGGATTCTGTAGGTTTTAAAAAAACCACTTATCATGAAATCAATGGATAATGATAGAGTTTTGAAAGGCGCATATTTCTGTATATTTTTGAAGCCTTACATTCCTATGATTCCTAAGAAAACTAAAAAGTTTAATGGATAGTATGCGATACAAATAATGGGATATCTCTTTTTGCACATGCATATCTTTTTTTTGTTTTCTATCGACTCGGTGAAGCCGAAAAAATGTGCGCACGTGGAATATCTTATGTGAAAAAAGATTACATCTTATTTGCTAGTGCTATAATAAAAGATTGTTTTTTTCGATAATCTTCCACTATTTCAAAAAATGCTTTTTGCCATTAGATAGACGAGATTGTTGTGCACCTACATGTTGTGGAACGAAGAGAAGTAGAAAAAATGGCCAAAAGTCTTTTATGATTTTTCAAAAATATCATGACCTGTAAAAATGCCATAGCTCCATTAACAACGCTTGCCGCAAGAATGTACTTGCTGAAAAACATCTTTAAATTCTACACTACAAATTCTAAGATTTAAAAGAAAAAAAAATAAGTTGTCCGCTGAGAACTACAGTTCTTTTAATTTAAAAATTAAGATACACTTTTGACACCGCAGTTTTGATACTGCGTGAGTAAAACCATTCTACGCAAAAAACGATAAACGACTTAAACATTATTTTCGTTTCACTTTGTTCAGAATTCAATTCTTTCTCTTGTATGATATAAAAAAGTTGAGGTGAATGGCAACTGCGGGAGCATAAACATTGAGAAAAATTTATTTTTCAGCACTGAGATAGTCCGCTTATTTTATATTTTTGCCACTTTCTGTACATCTTCAGTGGAAAATGCATGCATATTTGAAATCAGCAGACAAAACTGGATCGAATCATGTATTACTCCAATATTTTTAAGAAAAAAATTATTTTTTTGAACATCACTGTTAGGGGACCTCTTAAAAATTCATTGAAAAAGAAACAAAAACGGTGAAATCCTTTCTAAATAATCAATCATTAAAACTAAACGAGTGATCGCAAGTGATTTATTCTATTATTTTTATTTATTAAGCTACAAGAAAAGAAGAAGTAGCTGGCATACGCTCTAAATTTCCAAATAAAATTCCAGTTATTGTTGAACGTTATCACAAAGAAAAAGATCTTCCAGTATTAGGTATGTAATAGAGAAAATTTATGGTATTAAATGACTATTAAAATATCTGCCTTTTTTTCTATCGTTTCAGATAAGACAAAATTTCTTGTTCCACAGGAACTTACAATGTCTCAATTTGTAACAATTATTCGGTAAAAATATTTTAAACAAAATGATTTTATAAAAATTAAAACTCTTTTTATTTTTCTAGAAATCGTATGCAATTGAATGCAAATCAAGCATTTTATCTTCTTGTTAATAATAAAAGTATTGCATCTATGTCAACAACAATGGCAGAAATTTATAGAGATGAAAAAGATGAAGATGGATTTTTATATATGACATATGCATCACAAGAAATGTTTGGATAAAACAACGTATCATATTAAATAAATCATAGTCTCATACAAATAATTGTTCTTCTCGTTATACATTGGTTTTTTTTTTTTACTTCTTCACATTTTTCATCCATATCGGTGGTGCAAAATACAAACAAAATAGGCATCTTTTTCTTTCCGTATTCTGTTGTTTTCTTTTTTTTTTGACCCCTTTATGGCCTTGAAATGGAAAGAGGTTTAGTTCTGCTTGTTTTTAAATGTAGGTATGCGTCCGAAAGATGATTTAATGTATAATCAGCGAGACAATAAAGAAATCTATTTAGTATCTTACTTTGCTTAGTATTGTGTGTGTGCGTATGTTTTTTTTCCATCGACCGGTGAGAAATGGTTCTCTTCATTCTGAAAAATTTTGTATTTCTTTTTTGCCTAATCATTTCACTAGCTCGATGATGATTCGATCGCTCTTCTCAGTATCTACTTATCGTGCAATTTTTTCCCTTCTCTCTCTTTCTCTCTATTTTTTTGTCAAAAGTCTACTTTCATTATTATGACCAAAAGGTTTATTGTGCCCTTAATATTTTACAGAGATCAAATATCTTTGTTTTTTATTCCTTCTATTAATACAGGATATGCGTACTGTTTTTGATAGGCATATTTTTCACTCCCATTCAAATATATATGTCTTTTTCCTAAAGTATATCGCGGTTCGATGTTGTTGTTGTTGTTGTTTTTTCCTTTGTATATTCAGCATATTTCACATTCTATTTTTATCGACACACATATGGGACATAATTAACTTTTCCTCTTTTTTTCTGCTGTCTTTTTATGGTTCCTCACTAATTTTTTCAAATTGTACGATATATAACAAAGAAAAAACAGACATATTTATTTTTAAATACATTAAAAAATTATATTAGTCTCTTTTTGTGTTTATTGTGGAAGAAAAAGAACTAACTGTTTTTAATTGAGTAATAAGAATAATCGAGTTAAATATACAGATTTTCTTAATTGATAATCATAATAGTTCGTATAATTATTTTATTTTGAACCTCTATTTTGTTATCATTCAAAGCACTCATAGTATATGTTTCATTGTCCTAATTTTCAATTTATTGAGAAACTATCTCACAAATCTCACAACTATTTGTCATTTTGAAAAAATATTGTTTTTTGTCTCTGACTTTCTCAGTGACGTCAAGTTTTCTTACTTTTAAAGAAATTTTTAATATTTTGACTAAAAATTGCCGTATGAACTCTAGAGACATTTCAATTCATAATATGAATGTATGAAGAACCACGTATAGTATGCGAAAAAGAAGAAGTGATCAATATCTTATTGTGATCTAACGGTCAACGAATGCCGTTACTACGGATTAGTAGTTTTATCTTGCCTTAAATACAACATTGCAAAAGCAGTTATAATCAATAATTATCCATTCAAAATAAAATTGAGCTTGTAATGTTCTAAATGTACTTAGATTACATTAGTGATTTGAATCACTAATGTAATCTAAGTACATTTAGAACATTACAAGCTCAATTTTATTTTGAATGGATAATTATTGATTATAACTGCTTTTGCAATGTTGTATTTAAGGCAAGATAAAATTGTCCCAAAAAAATCGACGAAGAATCACTAAAGGAAGCGCTTTTTTGCTGTTGTTGTTGTTGGTTGTTGTTGGTTGTTAGATCATTGCGAACAAGTTCACTATATAAAGAAGTGTCAGAGAAAATGTCACAGAAAACATTTACTAAATAGAGATAAAATAATGTTTCTAAAGTTTTCAATAGAGAGATGGAACAAAAAATTTGATATACTAATGGTGGAAAGTTTAAAGAACTAATATATGAATAGTTGATATAGAATGTCTATACGGTTCCAGATTCTTTTCATGCTGAAATATGATGCATTTATGTATCCATATATTGAATAAAAACAAAAAAAGTGATTAAGTTTTAGAATAGTTTTGGATATTTTTTTTTTTCTAGAAGTTTTGATAATTTTTTTTTAATTTTTTTTCCAAAGTTTATTCTTTTATCCACTGTTCTTGTCTTTTTTGTTTGTAATGAACTATTATCACAGTATGGTGGATTTTCAATAGTTCTTAAATAATATTTTGCATTTTGTTTACGATAGTATATATTACTTTTATCAGCATGAAAACCCATTCGTGGATAAGTATTATCATTTAAATATTTTTGTTGAAATGTATCATTACAACGTTTGTTAATATAGTTTGACCATGAATCACACATTGTTGCACGAAAATCACAACTATTAATCGATGATATAAAATAACGTGGTGCACGTAAATGATTACATCCAACAAAACCATGAATTTTAACAAATACATCTTTTATTGGTGAAATAATACCAATTTTATCTCTAATTATTTCTATAAAATTTTTTTCTGGTAAATTTTCTCTTTCTAAATCTTTCAAATCAATATCAATTACTATGGGTGTTTCAAGAGTTGTCGTTTTTGATTTAAATAAAAAACGTTTGTTCAATGATCGTATATCATGTTTGAGAATTGTACGTTTACTAACTGGTCGTAATTCTGTTTTATCACCATTTTTAACTAGTTCAAATAGTTGTTCATCATTATCATCATTTCCAATTTTTGGTAATTTTTTACATGCTTCAGCATTCGAATCACCACCATCCGGAAGAAAATCCATATGTCCACTCTTTTCTTGTAGTCCAAATGTTTCTGATGTATGGATACAATCAACAAAGTCGGCATCATCCAAACTTAAACGTTTATCGACAGATACTTGTCTTAATAAAGGTCCAGCTGGATCTAGACCTGTTATTCTGGCAAACTTTTTTCCAGTTATTAATGTGTAATGATTGCTTGCAAATGCGCACGTATGAGCTCCCAAACTTTAATAAAGAAGAAAAATACACGTATAGATATATATAAACTATGTATATTGCCAAACTATCCGAGAATAATTTAACTTTTAATTACCTAAAACCGATACAATGTATTTTTTCAATATCAATCTTGTTATCGTTGATGAACGTTGCTAAGTGTCTACCAGCTGTATCAGCATTACCGATTGCCGTAATATAATTTATTTCTCGTGCTCCTCTTTCCCAATCAATGGCTACTACACAGTAATCTTCTTTTTCATATTTTAATACTTCATCTTTAATTCCTTTAACCCAATCCCATCGAAAGTCCATATTCCATCGTTCAGCATACCCTTAAAAAATAGAGAATAATTTTCATTTTTAACAGTAATAATAATAAAAAATGTTTATTATTTATTTACCATGGGCTATTAATTTTATTTTACAAGTACGCAATTGTTTATAATTATTCCATGTTGTGTCGGACCATTCTAATGTTAAAGCGGTATTCAGATTTGCTTTTGTATAAATATGAAAATAGGTATCATAATCAACACATATTATGAATAAATAAAAATATTGAAAAATGACTATGTATAAACCAAATTTATTGAAATATAACATTGGAATATCGTTCTATTAGAGTACGGTAATTTTAAGGGCTACGATTGATATTTTCTTCACATTATACAATGTGTAATGGCAATAATACTCTCTTTCGGCAGAGATTAATATTAATATGAATATATATATATATATGAATAAACATGAATATTGGATGAATTTTCTTTTATTTTTCTTTCTTTTCTTGAATAAACATAAATATGTAAAGAAAAAAGGTTATTGTTGTTGTTGTTGTTTCTCATCCATATGATTTTATTTAGCACATGGATTATTGAAGTGCAAAATTCTAACTAGAAATTGTTCGAGCAAAGATAGGCAATTTAATTTGATACAATGTCTTGTCCAGTACGCTCTGTGTACGTGCACAACTTTAAAATATTAAAAATCTTAATGATTAAGATATCAAATAGTAGGAAAAAACTTACTAAGATTTTGAACAAATGAATTTTTTCTCTGTATGTTTATAGATTTTCTGACAAAATTATAACAATATACTCGTACTATATTCGTAGATAATATATGTTTTACAAATTCAATTCATTGAAAAACTCGATTAGTGCAGCAGTAAGAAAATAGACTGTCTGTATTACAATTACTTTTTGTATTATTTATTTCTCTTCTATATTTTAGGAGCAAATTTCAACTTATTTGCCTCAGGTAACACTATTCTATTCTTATTTCTTTTGTTTTTTCGAATGAGACTTGTGTATTATTTAGGGCTTTCGTCCACTTCCACGTGTAATAGAATCGAATTTTTTTATTGCACCACAACCGAAAAAAGGTGCTGATAGCGTTTTATCTCTTACATCACCAGTTGAAGCCGATTCAATGTCAATGTTAAAAACTGTTTTAACAAAATTGTCTATTTTACCCAAAGCTAGTGCTGTTCGTGCTAGTAGTAGTCATGCTGTTGATCATCATCATGTACCAGCATATGAAAAAATTAATTTATGGCGTACACCATACAAAGGTGATGATGATACAATAACACAAGTAAAAAGTCGAAAAGGTGCCTTAGATAATTATGTTGAACGTCGTACACGTCGTATACAAGAATTACAGTTACACTGGTTGGTAAGTAATAATAATATATATATATATATATATATACATAATATGTACAATATTTGATTTCTTTTTTTTTGTTTTATATTTTACTTTAGCGACATCCGGAACGAGAAGTTTATTTAATGTTTGAACGTGATAAAATTATTTTATCATTCTATGCTTTATCATTCATATTAGTACTTTTTGCAACAGCAAAAGTTGGCTATGATCAAATGAAAAAGAAAGATCGACTTAAACGTAAGCAGAAAATAAATAAATAACATCAGCAGTTTAAATAAAATCAATATTTTTTATCTTTATTTTAGTATGGAAACTTCTCTATAAAGATAATGTTAACTAAGAAAATGATGAATGATTATTTGAAAGAACTTGAATCCAGTGAGATTTTTTTTTAACGTATGATCATAATCCTAGATAATATGTAATTCTTTTTTTTTCTGTTGTTGTTTGGAAGGTATATAATTTTATCTCATAGATTCTTCAAATGTAGATTTGTCCGGGTTTTTTTTCTCTTCTCCATTAAATGCATCACACCTCACAAGTTTATTGTTTAACTTTTCACAAGGACCTAAGATGAGTCATTAATAATTTTTTACAACTTCCCTGATCAACTTACTATTTGTATAAACTTTATTAAAGATAGAAAGAAAATAAAAAGCGAGTACAATGATGAAAAGAAGGAGACAAGTCCATTGTATCTTTTACATCACTGATTAAGAGACTTAAACAAAAAAGAAGTAATTAAATCAAACAAATTTGACTAACCATACGAGGAGGAGAGAGTACAGATTTAAAAACGCTGTATGCCTTCAATGCAGGTTATTACAATATTATGAATTTTACAAATTTCGTCTGCATTTAAGAGAATTAAGGATTTTAGAAGAAGAATATGTTCTAGAGTATAAGAGCTGCCGTTTGTTAGAGAATCTAGTCATTTTCAAAGATAGTTCTGATTTACCGGTGATTTTGACAATCCAAAAAGAAATGTCATTTTCACCACACTCACGCAACGGACTACTTACTAAGTTTTTCTTAAAAAGATCATAATTTAACCGAGAAAAACCGACATGCATCCGATTAAGAATCATACCGTATTTGCCTTCGGTACCTTTAAACCAAGACCACTTATACCAAGGAAAGAAATCAGCCATTAACGTTAAGCCTCTGAGAATTTTAAATAACAATAAAATTCTATGCATCGCACATAGATATTCAATCGAAAGCCATCCTAAAATGTTAAAAAGCTTTTCTCGCGAACTGAGACGTATAGTTGTATTAACTATGAGTCCAACTTCATACTGCAGTTTTGGAATAGGTTTCAAATAAGTTAGTTACACTAGAAAGATGATTATTTATAGTCTGAATTTCTTTGAAGTATGCATAGACAACATCATCATAACGTATCACTGACAAAATGCACGACTTATATATCTGAATTGAGTGCTGTACAGAATTTAAATCTATAATAATTCGAACTTACAATCTTTTATTTTACTCTTTTCAGATAATTTGAATTTGTTAACATGTCTGAATTACCTGGATGGAACGATCCTCCTCCTTTACCTCAAAACGATACAATATCGACGACAAGAGTATTGCTTAATAAACGAATATCGTATACAAATCAAGATCTGTCCACAAATTCATCACCATCCAAATCTGATAATGGTAGTAGATTTTTAAAGATTTCATTATTTATCAGTATCCTCTTTTCATTATATACGATATAATATCTTACAGAATTTAAATAGGTATTCAACCACCACCACCACCTCCATCTACTGTAACATCTCATACAAATTATGTCAAATCTGCAGAAGAGACTAAAACGAACAGTATTGATGAAATAACTGAACAGTTCAATCAACAATTCAAGAAATTAGAAGATGCTGAAATAGAGGTTAATTTAATATTTTGTCTATGACGAGCATGAAATAAAAAATTGACTTATTTGTTATTTTAGAGAAAAATTCTTGATGATATAACAAAAAAATTTCAAATTCTTGTGGACGATTGGAAACAAAATAAATTAACGTTATCAACAAAAGAAAAACTATCCGAATTATTTGAGAATCTCGATCATAATCTTGGATTAGCATTTGATCTTCATGTCGGTTTAGTAAGAAATTCAGGAGCAGAGGTAATAACGGACGACATAAAACTAAACTTTTTCCATTAAATGAGACAATTGATAATTCATTCGAGACGGTTTTTAGTCTTCTGACAATCATCTTTTTCTCAATGAAAAACTATCAAAAGAATCTACGCTTTTCATTTTAGGTTGTACGATTTATCGTCGGGATAAAACGATTAATTCAAGAACTACAACGTATTTCAACTTTGTCTGAAAACACCACTAATAAATCGAACGAGGTGTCCCCGAATTAATCTAATATGTTGATTGTTATGATGCTTTTTTGTTTTGCTTTATTGTTATTGCTATTGTTGTTGTAAAATACTTTTATTCAATAAACCAGATATGACTTAAAATTCATTGAATTAGAATGGTAGGTACAATAAGGTTCAATTAAATCGATTTCTAAACTATATATTTTTTTAGCTGATGCCTTGACTATTTCCAACTTGCACTCACCAACGTATAGCAACCGAGCTTTTTTATATTGTTCTCTTCTTTCATTGAGATATTCTTTGAATAAGCAAGGTGTCCCTTTTATTTTCTTTCAATACTTTTTAGAATTTAATATTATTGTACTGTACTGTTTCTTGTTTAATTTCTTTTTACTTTTAGATAGTCATTTTTTAAAATAAAAAATTATGTCTAATAAACAAGGAAAAAAATCCACATCATTAGCAACCAAAACGAGTACTTCAACGTTATCAACTGTACCAGCAACCAAAGACTTATTTGTCATTGGTAAACGTGAAAAACCAAAAATTGAACGACCAGTACCATGGGTAGAAAAATATCGACCAAAAAAAGTCAGTGATATTGCTTATCAAGATGAAGTTATTGCTGTTCTCAACAAATGTATCAGTGGTAGTGATGTAAGTTTTCATTGTTTTTACTATTTATTATCATCATCAAATATTTATATAGGATTATTTTTTGTTTTAGTTTCCAAATCTCTTATTTTATGGTCCACCAGGCACTGGGAAAACAAGTACAATTCTAGCTGCTGCGCATGAAATGTTTGGGTAAGAAAAATATCCATAATTTAAACATTTTTAAATTATTTTATTTCTTGTTTCAGATCAGATTTATATCGTGACCGGGTGATGGAATTGAATGCTTCGGATGAACGTGGCATTAGTGTTGTTCGTGAAAAAGTGATCAAATTTGCACAATTATCTGCGGCAGCAAAACGTCCAGAGTAATATTAAATTAATATTCTTTTCTCTCTGTTTTATCATTAAATATTGTTATTCTTTTAGTGGTCAGCCTTGCCCTCATTTTAAATTGATTATTCTGGATGAATGTGATTCAATGACAAAAGCGGCGCAAGTATGTGTCTTGTTGTTCAACTAGTACGATACTTTCCTATTATGTTTCAATTACACAGGCAGCTCTTCGTCGAACAATGGAACGTGAATCAAAAACAACACGATTTTGTTTAATTTGTAACTATATCAGCAGGTATTTTTCTTTGTAATAATTTTTTATGACATTTTCACGTCTCGTATTGTTGTTTTTTGTAGAATTATTGAACCGATAACATCACGTTGTGCAAAATTTCGTTTTAAACCATTGCATACCGATATTATTGAACAACGTTTACAAACAATATGTGCTGAAGAAAATGTTAACTGTGAAAAAGATGTTTGTGATGAATAATAGAGAAAAAGTTATTAGAAAAATGGCTCATTGTTTATTTTTTTTAGGCAATTGTCGAGTTAGTCAAATGTACAGATGGTGATATGAGAAAAGCGGTGACATTTTTACAAAGTGTTGCTCGCGTTCGACCAAATGAAACGGTGACATTGGCTGATGTACACGAAATAACAGGTGTAAGTTTTCAAATATATTCATAGAAACGATTCATTCGATGATCATGATCTTTTGTAGATTATTCCTGAAACAGTGATTGATCAATTAGTTCAAGTTTGTCATACTCCTTCGTACGAAAAATTAGCTACAACAGTTAAAGTGTGTACTCATCTATTCTTTTACTATTCATGTATTCAAATTTCAACATTTAGAATGTTCTATGCGAAGGTTATGCAGCTCATCAGTTAATAATGCAATTACATGATTATCTATTAGAACAAATGAGTATTTCAAATGAAGAAAAAGCGGTGATATTTGATAAAATAGCCGTAAGTACTCAATTAAACTCTTATATTTAAAACTAGAAAGACAATGTTAATTTTCTAGATGGTTGATGGATGTTTATTGGATGGTGCTGATGAATATTTACAAATTATGGATTTATTATGTACAGTTATGCAACAATTTTGTCGTTCATAGTTTTCTTTATACAATAATATTTTTCTTTTTTTTGTCAGATATTTGATATCATATAATAGGTTTATTTTTCTATATTAGATAAACTTTGAAATAAATTAGAGCATGTTCTTGTATACGCAGATCAAGAGTATCATTTTTTTTACTCGTATACTTTATTGTTTGACTAGTTTTATCTTAACTTGCACTAGAACTTCAAAAAATTTTCTATTCCAATTGAAAACGATGAAAAACTGATAGTAAAAAAGGTAAGTCAGAATTTTTATAAATAGTCTCGTGACATAGACGTGTCTTTACTTCATATAAGAAATTTATTTAGAAACATACCATTACAGAGAAAAACAAAAATATTTTAAATATTAATGCAGGTATTGTACAAGAATAAGGATCAAATTGTAAGAATAAAACAATTAAACAATTATTAATAATTGTTTTAGATTGGGACATAATCACTATTTTATCTTTTATACATATGTTGAAAAAACAAAGAGTAAAATAATTATTATTGATTATAAAATGTAACATAAGTGTTACTAGCGATAAATGCAAGGTAAAATTGGTTATATTTGGGGATGTTGAAAAGTTTAGAAAATGCAACAGAAGGTTTTCTGGTGATATATATTGTTGAAAGATAAATATGAATGTAGTCGTATACTCGAAATATTTGACAATAGTGTACTGTAAACAGTTGAAATACTATTATACACGTTAATTTTTGAATTGGATAAAAGATTTCTTTATATGGTAAGATAAATTTCATATGGGTAAGTTTTAAAACTATACTATCTTTATATTGTTCAAACGGTCAAATTTTAAGCTTCCCGTTGTATATTACTAAGTGCTTTTATAGGCACTTTTCGCGTGACAATTGGCGGAAGTGGTCCATTAACACGCATAGGTATAGTTTTTGTAGCGAAATTAGTATCAAATGATGGAGATGTTATATTTGCATTTATTAATAAATGTTTTTGACGTTTTATATATTGTTCTGATTCAATTGTTGTTTGATTATTTAAATAACTTTCGATATTTGTTTTGGGAATCCAAACGGTCACCGGTAGTGGTGATGTAATTCTATGTTGTTTTTCATTAATAAACGACTGTGGTGGAGTTGGTGGACGTTTTAGAGGGAAAAGAACTTTCGATGATGAATCTGTTGTTCGATTTGTTAAAGAGGATGAACGTGCTGATAATCGACGTTTAGAAATTGTTGTTTCTATATCATTTTTTATTGATATATCTTGTGATTCTTGTTGTTGATTATTTGAACGTATTAAAATTGGTTTATTTGGTAGTAATATTTGTCCTAAACGTTTAGTTTGTAATTGTCTTTCACGATGTAATTGTGTTGTTAATTCAGCTATGATTGTTGCACGTTTTTCTAAATCTGCTTTAAGTAAACGATATTTTTCACGTTGTAAACGTATATCATTAGCATGTTGACGATCATTCAATATTAACTTAGTTTCATAACTATTAATCTTTGTCTCTTTTTCATTTAATATTTTTTTCAATATTTCTACCTCTTTTTTATATTTTAATATTTCATTTTCTAATTGTTCAATTTTCAATTGTAATTTAGCTAAAAAACAAACACGTAACAGTAAATGACATGTATATTTTGATTGTATGAAATTACTTTCTACTGAAGAATTTGTGATTATGTGACCTCCAATGGCCAAATGAAATGTAAGTTCTAAATGAAAAATAATGTTTTAGCTACATTTGCTTAGTCACTGTTTCTGAGAATGCGTTATCTGTCTTAAACTTGCAATTTTACATGTTTGTTAGACTCATTACCGCATCTTAGATCCACAGATTAGTCGATTTGAATATGATAACATACCGCTACATTTATTTTGTAATTTAGCTATTTCTTCATGTAGTGCTTGTAATGTTGATGCATGTTCTCGTTGAATAAATGTAATTGATTTTTCAGCATTTTGTAGACGTTGAACAAGATTTTTTGTAGATGGTGATGATATTGGAATAATGTCTTCCATGATCGGCTTACCGATTATGATATGTTTTTTTTCACGATTATTTTTTATTCTGATCTATACATGTTCAAAAAAATCTTTTTTTAAAAATAAAATGTTGACGATTTACCTTCATTCAAGACTATAATCATGATTGTACAAATGAAATGAAATAAATAAATTTTTTCAACGAGACTCTAAAGTGCAAGATAGCTATGCTAGTTGTCATATTCAATGGAAATTTTTTGTTATACTAATTATGTCCTATTTCAAAGACATATATACACATCTTTTTTTGCTTATTAAATACTTTAGACAAAGTATATGTATTAAAAAAGAATGAACGAATGTCATACATTAATATAATATAATCATCACGTATGTATATATAAGAAGAAAAAAAAAAATAATAAAATAAACGATGAAAAATGATTATATGTATTATTATATCTGCGGTTCATAATAAATGTCTTTTTAAACTCTCTCATTCTCTATCAATTCAATTGCTATTTTTTATATATATTTTGTCGTAGATATGGATGAAAAATCAAAAAACGATCCCACTGATAATATCAGACTATAATAAACGAAGAAAGTTGTTCGTCTCTCTTTCTCTTATATAATCTACATTACATTCCAGTATACGAACATGAATATTGAAATAAAACATACAACATTTCTTTTACCTTTCTTCGTTTTTTTGACGATGACATTTAGGCAAAAAAAAATTTTTTTTTATTTTTTTATTTAAAATAATGATAGAAGTATAATAACAGGTTGAAGAGAAGATGAAAAAAGCAAAAGAAAATGTTCATCGCTTACAAAAAAATCAGTTTACAAAAGAAGAATTGGTTATAAAATATTAATAAGAGAACTAGAAATGAAAAAAATTTGAAGTAGTCTAGAATAAAAAGACATTGTATAAAATCAGAGTTAAACTTTAATGTATCATTTAACTGTACTAATATGATGAAAATGAGACAAATAAAACAGTCAGAAAGAGTTTTTTTTGTTGTAACCCTAGTTATTCAAATCGAATCGTTATTTTTTATAAAATGTATCAAAAACGGTAACAGTTTTTACGTTACTTTTTGTCCAAAAGCCATCTATTTTTATTTTACCATCGTTAATAGAATATATATCTTAGAAAGAAGTAAGAAATTACAGAATCTCTACGTTCTCTGGTACATCTATAGATTTGGTATCAAATTCCAAAAAAGTATCAAGTTTTAATTTAGAAAATTGACAAAACATTAAGTTCTGTCCGTAAAATAAAGCTTAGAAGCAGCTTGAGAGTATGCGAGATGGTAGTGAGAGAAAACCAAAGTCGAAACAAACTGTTGCTTGAGCCGAGCTGATTTAAGCTGACTAAAATATCAGTAAAATATAAACTATCCATTTATTCTATGATTCCAAATGGTGCAAATTTTCTCTGAAATTTGAGCAAACAACAGATTTGGATAGGACCATATCAGATACAATCATGCAATAAGCTAACAGTTCATTCTAGATTTATTTTGCTCACTATTATCTCGTCGTATACTCTCATACGGCTTGTAAGCTTCGGTATACTATTAGAACCTAAAAATTGATGTTTTGGCAAACATTAGTTGTCCACGTTTTCTTTTGGATTTTATTACAAATCTACAGATTTACCAGATAATAGGATTGAGTGACTTTCGTTAAAGCGGTTTTTTTTAATGAAAGTACTGAAACTTTTATTCAACGTTTTTGATGGTACAAGAATTTTATCTAATATATTGCTTAGCAAAAGATACCTATTTCATTTTGTATATGTGGGCGCTTAGTGATACAGTGTAAAAAATAAAGTGTGCTCAAAACACACTGAACTTGCACATAGCTTTGATTCGTATTTGCACATCTAGAAATGCACGGTGTGATGTATCAGAAACACACTGGCAAAATTTACACACCTGCGAATATAAGAAGACTTTTACACACCTAGAAAAAACACACATCAGTTTGATTAATATTTGTGCAGACTATACAAGTAGTAGAAGTGTGACCTTAGTCTAAACACTTGTACTCATGATAGTACTACTGTCCTAGAAATATGACTATGAATAGTATTTTTAAATAGCAACAAATTAAAAAGTTCAAAAATTTTGAAAATAATATTTTTAAGTTAATAAATTTAAAAGTTTTGAAATTTAGAAAATATTTTGTTACCAACTATTGATGTGATATTGTTTTCAAGGACTTTGGATAATAAATCAACAGTAAATCAACCGCTTAATATTTATAATTTCAATTATTTAACGTTTGAGAAAACCAGTAATGTAGAAAATTTTATTAAATGAAAACAAAATATGAAATCTATAGAAAAGAACTTTATATTTAACTTACATCACTCATTTAAACTAACCTAGCAAAAATGTATGTTTAAAAGTAAGAAAAAAAAAACAGAAGATTTATCTGACAAACGAATCTGGTTAAAAATTCAATATACATATACATAAAAAAAAAACTGTTCAACTATCTTTGATATTATAATTACGAATTGCACTTTTTCGAATCAATTCTGTTTTAGGTTTAATATTTGTTCGATTGTCACGTGTTTGCTGTCGAGCGGTTAACACTTTTCGTTTGGCAGTCACACTCATTGATTCTAAAAAAAAAAAAAATAATCAAAAACTTTTTCATTAATTCTTCTTTTAATTTCAAAAAGTTCAAACGTACTTTGATCAGACATTTTTCCTGGTGTATTGTCCAATTCTTTCCATAGATCACGAATTTGTTCTGAAGCCACAGTTGTTATTGTGTTTCCACTAACATTAAGCAAATCTAAAAGATATGATATTATCGTTGATCAAATAAAATTCGTTTAAACTTTAGTAAAAGATTTTTATGATAAAAGATATTGTTGGTTAATTTGTTAGAATTGATTTGAAAATAGTATGGATTTTAGTATAACTTACTTTCACTTTTTTCTAGTGGTGCACTTATTGGCCTTTGTTGTTGCATATCAGATGCTATTTGATTTGCTCGTTTTCTATTTTCTAATTCCTTTAACGATGAAAAACTATTTATCTTTCATAAATTTAAAACTATCAATAAATACATACTTGTTTTGTTAATGCATATTGTAATTGTTCAAGTCGTTCTAATTTACTTTCAAGATTTAATACATCTTTCTTTGGACGAATATTTGTAGGTATAATATCAACATTATGTTGGTTCATAGTTGATCTACTATCATTTGTTGCACTTTTAGTTAATTGTGAACGTAAATGATTACTTATTTCTAATAATCGTTCTTTGTCCGATACTAATGTTTTTATATGTTTTATTGATTGTTCAAGTTTTCGTTTTAATTGGTCATTTTCTTGTTGAAGAAGTATTTCATTTACACGATTTCCTTCTGGATCATCATTTTCATCATTCATATTCACTTTTAATTCTAAAAAAAAAGACTAACAGATTAATAATATACGAGAAAAGATTGACAATTTATACGGTTTACCTGTAAATTTTTTTGTTAAACGTTCAATTTCATCTTGTAATTGTTGAATTAAAATTTCTTGACCACCATAATTGAATAATGGTATTCTCCCAGCTGCTTCGAGTTTTGCTTCGCTTAACTGTAAGAAAAAAACCTCAAATTAGAATTCAGTTAATTGTTCTAGTTACAGTTAGGCTACTTTTCTCTCCAATTCCGTTACGTCAGCATTTCGTTCTATAATTGCTTTTTGATATTCATCTGCTTCTCTTCTTGTTTCAATCAATTGAACATCTAAATCATTTATTTTCTGTTTTAAACTATTCATTTCTGTTTGATGTCGACGATCATCTGCATTCAATTGGTACTGCAATTGATCAATACGTGACTGTCGTTGTCGCAGTTCTCGTTGAAAATTATCGTGATTTTTCTCGATTTGTATTAAACGTCCTTCTAGTTTTCGAACTTGTGCAACCGATTGCATTTTATCGGTTCGTAATGAGCCTTAAATAAAAAAGGAAAATCAAATAAGAAAATTGTATAATAAATGAAAGGAAGACTTTTTTTTCTTTATACCTATTGTATTATTCAATGATTGCACATAATTGTTCAATTGAGGATTTTTGTGTAATTCCTTATTGACACTTGTATGGTCAATCTCAATTGTTGTTGAATCATTAGAATGTCTTGAGTCAAGTCTCATAATTAGGTCGCGATTTTGTTGACGAAGTTCTTGATTATCTCTTTGCAATTGATTGATTAAATCTAAGCACAATGAAAACTGTTATTGAACAAAAAAGCAGTGGCTTCTGTTGTTTTTTGAACAATTCAAGAATGAAAAGAGCTAGAAAAGTCGGATTTTTATCATTTCAAAGAGAAAACGTGATCGCATCTTTTCTAATTAGAAAGATTTTCTCAAATCTCTTTCGAAATGGGGTCTCTGAAAAACTCATTCTAGTTCAGACCTTGAAGTGCATATATTTTAATTTTTCTATATGAATTGATAGTCCAGAGTGCAATCTTTAAAATGGAAGTCCAGCGAGACGTTGATTTTCAGTGGTTCATGGGTGATATTTGATTTTCTTAGAGCTCGAGAGCTGTTACCCGATGACTTGCTGTTGGCTTAAAATCGCATGAAATATATGTAATCGACCACATTGAATCTGGTGGCAATGTTTGTTTTCGGAAAAGAACCCAACAACCTAATGAAAACTAATGAAATTTGCTCAAATTAAAGTTTCAAGGTTATTTTCACCTATGATTGGATATCTCACAATTTATTCAAAAAGTTCGAGTTCAAAGCTTCTGGATGTGGTTAATTTTATCTACTAAATGTGATTATACGATCGAAAAAATTGAACAACAACCATTTTGTTCAAGAGTTTTCTGTAAAATGAATCGAGAAATTCTAAACTTTTGTAAGCTTTTTTTTGTAGATCTCTTATAGATCGAAGATAGAATAGTCTAAATACTCTCTACATTGCCATTCGATTCAATTTAGTCAATTACATATGTTTCATACGGTTTTGAGGCCACCACAAGTTCTTGGGCAACAGTCCTCGAGCTCCAACGAAGGCCAATATCAGAAAAAGAAAGATTTACGTATAGTCAAATTTTCATATTTTCTCTAATATATTTCAGAAATGATCGGAAAAGAGACAGACTACAAGATCATAGGCTGGATAGATCAAGAGCAGCGCCAGCATTCTATTTAGTCTAGTTTTCAACGAAAATAAGTCAACATATTGGCCAGAGTAATAATAATAATTTAATGAATTATTATTAATAATAAAATATGGCTAGATAATTTTACTCCACTTACTCGGCTGTCCTGATACCGATTTTCCCGGTAAATCTGTTGCCAATGTTTCCATTTGTTCTCTCATTTGTGTCACAACAGATCGAAGATTTTCATTTTCACGTTGTAGTGTAACAATGACATCAGGATTACCGCCACTCTAATTAAAAAAGAAAGAAATATAACATAAATTAATTTGATATGGCGTATAGACGCTTCTTACAAATGACGACTCACGGATTTGTATTGATTCGAATACGCATTTAGTAAATCATCTTTAAACCGAATATCATTTTCTAATTTTTTTACTTGAGCAAGTGCCTAGAATAATACGAGTACAATTAAATCATACATTATTACTCAATAGTTACGTTACCAACCTGTTGATGTGCATCTGTTACTTTTTCAATTAAATCTTCTGATTTATGATATTCTTGTCGTTGTCCTTGATCAAGTTTTCGTTGCCAATCAATATCAAGTTGAGCTTTTGCTTCTTCTAATATACGTTCACGGTCAAATGCTTCCTCTAGTTCTTTTTTATATCTAAAATAATAGCAAGAAATGAGGGCATGTATTTCTTGTCCATGTAAGACCATTACTAACCGATTAATATGATTATCTTTAATTTTTAATTCTCCTTTCAACATATCACACTCTTCTTGTGTTGCTTGATGTTCAACATTTTGATTTGCATTTTCCTTCGATATTTGTGATAATTGATAATTATATTCTTTTTTCAAACGATTTATTTCATCTTGTAATCTAGACAGAAACAACAGAAAGAAAGATGGACTCAACGTTAGCACTACAATTCGCCGACTAGTTCAATGGTTCACTGAGCAGAGAATCGACTCCATAAGGCAAAAAGAAGCTAAATGCGTGTTAAGTCAAAGGAAAAGAATTACGGAAGTTTATACTTCTATTTTAAACGATATTTGATAATAAATACCTTGATAAATTCGTATCTTTCTCTCTCAAATCATGTTCAAAATCACGTTGTTTTTCATTTTGTTCTTTTTTCAATTTTCCAATTTGATCCAAAAGTGTTTGATTTTCAATCATTAATTTTTCTTGTAATTCTTGATAAGATTGTTTCAATTGTTCTAACATCATGTCTTTTTCACGTACTAATCGATCAAGTTCACCATATCTGACAAAAGAAAAACTAATATCAATATACTTGTTTATACGGCATCTCTACCTACTTTCGACTAAAATCATCTTCACGCTCTTTTACTTTTGAATCGACATTTGTTGTTTTTAGTTCAAGTTCACGAATTCTAAAAAATATATAATACGTATATCCCTTCTCTTTCCCTTCTTCCTACCAGCAACTATCAATTCATTACCTTGCATTTTTAACTGATTCTATTTCGTGTAGTTGCCAATCACGTTCTTTTACTAATTTTTCAAATGTTTTTAATTTTTCATTTAACTCAAGATTATAACTTTCTAAATTACGATTAGAAACTTTTTCGTGTTCAAGTTCATCGATTAGTAATTTATTCTAAAAATAAGAGTAGAAACATAACTTCATCGTCCTTTTGTCAAAATTATCATCATTCAAACAGTTCTTATGGGATAACAGATATTGCTACTCAGATATTGAAACCAACCGGGGTGATAAATCGCTGTTTGATCGAAATCTAGTGGGTTATAGGTTATCGACCATGTTGATTCCGAATATGACCATGGGGATTCCCTATAGCCCGTCGGGTATTCCGTTTTCTGGAAAACAAGTTTTTCAGAAACTCTAAAAAATAACCCAAACTTTTCTTAATCAGGCATAATTGTAGCACGCAAATTTCTGATTAAACGGAGGCATCGCCTAGCTCTAAACGACCTTTCTTTACAAAGTTATAGAATTTACAAGAAAAGCCCTAAATGTTCAATTTCAGCTCAAACTAGGGCTGTCAGATTTAACGTTAATTAACGTTAATTTTCGTTTAACGTTAACGTAAAATACGTTAACGTTAATTTTAACGTAAACGTAAACTACGTTAACGTTAATTTTAACGTAAACGTAAA